TGCGTGGGAGTCCAGCGATGTAACCATTACGCCATCTGCTGGTCCCAGCACTGTGTTATTTCACTGTGAAGCAAACCAATAAGATTAATTTTTATTAACTTGTATTCAGAAGGCAATAAAAACTTGTCAAGGATTCAGTAAGTATCTGCCTAGGGTAGACACACAATTGCGGGGAGACTTAAAGATGTATACACCTTGTCAGGATGATGATTACAGAATAAAATATAATGTAGTAGCAAGAAATGAAGCATTCAAACGTAACTACGACAGCTGCGAAGGCACGCGGCTAAGACCAGCATCCCACTTGTAGAACAGGGGAGTCATTACAAGAAAGGGGGTCATTTATTTTCACCCTCAACTCCACACAGGGACATAGAAGTCTTACCCTGAGAGAAAGAGACCATCATTTGGAGAGTTCTGGAATGCTGAGAAAGGGGACTGGCTTTATTTGGAACCCTGTAATGATCTCATGCCTAAGAACTTTGGGGGAAACAACTGGAGACCTTTGGGGTGAGCTATTTGGAAGAGGCTCAGAGTTCCATGATATTAGTAGCAAAGAGCAAAGCAGTAGACCACCTACGTTTAACAGAGGTAACATGAGCCCTCTTGGGGTTGGAGCCAGCCTGAAAGGCAGGCAACACCTTACCCCTGTAGAGGGGCTTGTCTTTGATTGGGTCAGAATGCAGAACGGGGTGTTGTGGAAAGCCATAGAGCAATCAGCTAGCAGTGAATGGAGTGATGCCGATATAGGTAGACCAGCCAGGAGTTAGCGAAAGTCAGAGAGCTCAGCTGAAACAACAATTATTCCTGGTTGTCAGGGAGACTGTGTCCATGACCGAGGCTGCACCCTCTGAGGAGCAACATCAGAAACTGTGAACAGCAGGGAAGTGGACTTTACTGATCGAGTCCAGCCGAGTCACTAAATAAGCAACGAGCCAAAACGACAAGCTCCAAAAAGGGGCAATGCGAACCAATATTGAGAGATGCTACCATATAGAATCTAAAATAAAATGTTTTCATCAAAAATTATGAGATAGGCAAAGAAACAAGAAAGTGTGACTCACCCGGAGAAAAATGCAGGCAGCATAAACTGCCTTCGAGAAAGTCCAGATGGTAGACTGAGTAGACAAAATTTTCAAAGGAGCGACTCAAAGAATCAGAGGAAATCATGTTTAAAGAATTGAAAGAATACATCATCATAATGTCTTATCAAGTAGAGGTAGAAATTACTGATAAAGAGGTAGAAATTATTTTTTTAAAAAGGAACACATGGGGACCAACAGATGGAACAATGGTTACGTTGCTCGACTCCCATGTAGTTGACTGCAGTTCAAGTCCCAGACCCAGCAGCTTAAAACTCATGCCGGGTGCATGTGGCAGGCATGCCCAAAGTCCCAAGAGGAGAATGGAGAAGGGATTGTGACATGGTTGTCCCTTCTGGGGAGGTGATTTATCACTTTCTGTCTCTCTGGTAAACGCATGTGCCTTATATCAAAAACTCTAAAATTAAGGAACACATGATAAATCTGGAGTCTTTTCAATATGATGACTGAAATGAAAAATTCATTAGAGGAGGTAGACAGTAGATTTAAGGCAGTCAGAAGACTAAGAATCAGTAAATTTGAAGATCGATTGATGAAAGCTATACAATATAAAGAATGGAGAGGAAAAAGAAGAGACCCGGGACCAGCAGTTAGTGTAACAGCTATGTCACTGGACTCCCATGTAGTCGACCGCTGTTTGTGTCCTGGACCTGGTGGCTTAAAACTCACACCAGGTGCATGTGCGTGCTTGCCCAAGATCCCGAGAGGGGAATGGAGGAGAAGGGATTGTGACGTGGCCATTCCCCCTGGAGGGTGATTTCTTGCTTTCTGTCTCTCTGTCTCTCTCTGTCTGTCTGGCGAGTGCACACGCCCTACAGCAAAAACCTCTAAAAAAAAAATAAAAGAAGAGGCCCAACTGCCGTGACACACACTGCTAAGATGCTGTGCTCTGCAGCCTGGGACCACATGGAAGGTCCCAAACTAAATGCTGTAGGTAGCGGTGTGCACCTATAATCCCAGAGACGTGGAGGCTGAGGCAGGATAATTGTGAATTCAAGACTAGCCTGGGAAAAGTCTTATCTGAAAAATCAGGCATGGTGGTATGCACCTGTGGTCTCAGCTACTTGGGAGCTTAGGCAGGGGGACTGCAACACAGTGGGACCTGGTCTTAAATATATCAATTAATTAAAGTAAAATGAAGAGTCTGAGAGAAACATAAAACATCATGGAGGGCCCAGTAGATGGTGTGATGGTTATGTAGCTGGACTCCCATGTGGTCATCCATGGTCGGAGTCCCAGACTCGGCAGCTTAAACCTCACATAGGAAACATGTGTGTGCGTGCCCAAGATCCTGAGAGGAGGGTGGAGGAGAAGGGATTGCGATGTGGCCATACTCCTGGGAGGTGATTTCTCATTTTTTGTCTCTCTGTCTGGCAAGCGCACGTACCCTATAGGAAAAATCTCTCAAAAAATAAAAACAAAAACAAAAAACACACATGTAATAGAAGAGGAGAAATAAAAAGGAATAGAAAAATATTCAGAGACACAATGGCTGGTGAGACAGACAGAAAGCAAGAAATTACGTCCCCCAGGGGAAGAGGGGATGGATATGTCACAACCTTTCTCCTCCATGCTCTTCTCAAGATTTTGGACACACATACGCACATGCCCGGCATGAGTTTTAAGGCACTGGGTCTGGGACTTGAACTATGGTCGACCATGTGGGGGTCCAGTGGTGTAACCATTATACAATCTGCTGATCCTGATAAAACTGATTTTTAAAATAAATAAATGGGAGAAATAAACAAACCTCTCATGCAGAAGAACCCCAAGTAGTTATGTGGAGAAACTCTCTAATTTCTAAGTGTGGAAGATACAAAATGTCTTCCTCTCAAAGAGTACAGTATGGAAAAGAGGGAGAGTAACTTTAGAATGGAGAGATCTTAAATATACTACTCCAGCTAGGTGAATGTCAGACCCTTAAAAATTCATTTCAAGTTTTTGAGACCATCAGATGGTGTAATGGTTACATGCTGGACTCCCACGTAGTAGACCACGGTTCGAGTCCCTGACTCGGTAGCTTAAAACTCACAGTAGGTATATGTGTGCCCAAAATCCTAAGAGGGGACTGGAGAAGAAGGAATTGCAGTGTGACCATCCCCCCAGGGGGGTGATTTCTTGCTTTCTGTCTCTGTCTCTCTAGCGAGTGTATGTGCTATAGAGCAAAATTGTGTCTTAAAAACAATTCGTTTAAAATTTACTTGTAAGCTAATGACTATCGATCCCAGAGAAAAGCAAATCAAGCACCACAGAGAGTCCTCGTGGAGAGAGTGCACAGGCTTTTGCTTGAACGTTATCACCTGCTAGTCCGTACTGAGACTGGCATGTCTGCAGTGTTGGTCCATCAGGGAAGTGACATGGATGCCATAGGAAAACTGAGTCAGCCGGGGTAGACCTGTGGCTTTTGGGCCATTGTAGGCAGGTTTGGGGCCACACGTGCTGCTGAGGACACGAATAATTGTTTCAATGGTTTCAGAGGTCGACAAAGCATGGTTCTATTTGATCCCATTCAGTAAGCATAAAGATTGGGACCCCTTTTGCACAGATGTGGAAATGGAATCCTGTCTAGTTGAAAGACTTGGGGAAGACTGGAAACAACATCAAACCTGATGTCAGGCCTTCTGATGACAGTGCCCAGTGCTTTTTCCCCTAGCCTCCCCAAAAGTCCTCTTGGGTCACACCCCATATGTGCTCAGGGAAAGAAAGCGGTAAGTTGCAATGTAGGTCTGCAGGAAGCTCAGATGACCACCTGCCTTCTCACACAGCGAGCACTGTGTGGACAGAGGTCACAGGTCTGCCGTCCTTTGGTTGCTTTCTGCCCACAGACTGCTCTTGCTGTGAACAGCACCGTACTGAGTGGGAGTTATGTGTTTAAAGAACGCTCTCTCTCCTTTACGTAAAGCAATGGATTTTTGCCATGTGCACTTTTTCTCATATCGGTTACATTACTACATGCACTATAACGTTTTCTCCATGACTGTAGACATAAAACTTTGAATATTACACACTGTGGGCCACTTAAGGAATTCTCAAGTGTTATTTGGAAGCTGAGATTTTGGTCTTGTTGGGCTGACTTAGAACCCAGTCGGACAGTGAAATGCAACGTGGCTGGATGCTAAGTCTCCAGGTGCCACTTCCTGCTTTGCAGGCCCAGAGCTACTTTGATTTTTATGGTCTGGGCCTTCCTAGATGAACAACCAAGGTGTCCTGAATCTTGGTGGACATTGACTCAAGCAAATCCAGGGAGACAGGAGGAGACACACATCAGAAACGGCATGCTGGGGCCAGTAGGTGCAATGGTGGTTAAGGCACTGGACTCCCAAATGGCTGACGAAGGTTTGAGTCCTGGACCTGGCAGCTTGCTTTCTCACTTTCCCTTTCTCTCTCTCTCTATCTCTCTCTGGTCAAATTAAAAAATAATAACAAATAAAATTAAATAAATAATAAAAGGAAGAAAGAAACGGCATGCTTTATCCCTCCTACCTCCTCCACTTGTATGGTTTCTCTTTCAATTTTTTCAAGTAATTCATTTCTCAGCAAGATCTCCTTGTCCAGATTGACATGCATTTCCATTGCTCGGTGAAGTCTGCCCTAAAATATTACACAAGTGTTGAGCTAAGAGGACCCCTCAGAACTGTGGGGGTGAGGAAACAGCTCTTTGTTAAGTAGGAGAAAGGCAAGATCATCTAGAACCATGGGCCTGCCCTTCTCAGAGTTGCCCGGATTCTCAGAATCCTGGTGTCTGGAAACTGGTGGAGGAGGAGAGGGTTAGCTGGAGAGAGAGTGTTCAGACACACCGAGACCCAAATCCTGCCCCACTACTTACTGAGGGAAATTTTGAGTAAGTCCTAGAACTTCTCTAAACTTGGTCCAGTCACCTCGTGGGGTTGTGGAGAGATTTAAAAGGGATATCCTGGTGGGATGCTGAGCATAGGGCCCAGCCCCCTCAACAAACAGCTGCCACAACTACAGATAGGCAAACTCCCCACAAGGTGGCCGCCTCTGCTATCCCCACTTACAGGTGAGGGAACTGACCTTAGGGAGCGGAAGCCCTTCTTCCAAGGTCAGAGACAAGAGGGGACCAAAATTTGAACCGGCATTGTGATTCCACAGCCCACAGGCTCCACCACCGTCTCCACTGCCTAATGAGGTGGGGCCTGCTGGTGTCAGAGGATCTTGAAGGAGCTGCCTCACAGCTTCCCATTACATCCTGGGCTCTTCACCAGCTCCCCCAGACCCCTACCTTAGGGTGGGGCCCTGTGGATCACTCTCTGCCAGCAGGGAAGAGTCAGCCAAAAGAGCTGGGACATGATCTGCTTGGCTGAGGAGTGGGGCAGGGGAAAGAGCCAGTATTTTCAGGGGCTCACTGAAGAAATCTTGAGAACCCACCTACCCTGCACCAGACAGTCATCAGTGAGGCAACTTAGGCCCTGCCACCAGGAGGCTGGTACAGCCCGGATGGAGGCGGAAGGCAGTCAAATAACAGCAGGAAGAAATGTGAGTGTGTAAGACTGCCAGGCTGTAAGAATGCAGGACAGTGGCTGGAGGTTTTCCTGAGAAAGGAATGCTGGAAAGAGCTGAAAGATTTGAGTCGAGTGTGTTGAGGTGAGGAGGAAAAAAGGACATTCCACTCTCAGAAAAGAGCCTAAGAGAGGAGGGTTAAAGGAACTGGGAGAGTGGGTGATAGAGATTCAGAGCCATGGTCAAAGGGAAGGTGGAAGTAGGAGGTGCAAGGGTGAGGCCCCTGGGAGTCTGAACTTAGCTGTAGCAGGAGAGCTGGAGCCAGCTGCCTGGGAGACCTCAAGGATCACTCCTCCTTCCCACTCTCTTCCCTCCAGCCCTCACTTTTTTCTTTTAGAGAGAGATTTTTGCTATAGGGTGTGTGTGCTTGCTAGAGAGAGACAGAGAGACAAAAAGCAAGAAATCATCTTCTCCCCTGGAGGGATGGCCACACCACAATCCCTTCTCTTCCACTCTCCTCTCAGAATTTTGGGCACACACACACTCACGCTTGGCGTGAGTTTCAAGCTGCCAGGTCCAGGACTCAAACAGCGTTGGCCATGGTGGGAATCCAGCACCTTAACCACTATGCTACCTGCTGGCCCTTGGCCCTCACTTCTTGAAGGTCATTTCTTGCTCCATGTATTACATGAAAATTGTTCTGCTTAGAAAAGCAAAGGTGAAAGAGCAGACTAAGGAGGTTTGTTGTGGGCTGGGGAAGAGGGGCAGGACTTCACTGCAAGTCAGCAATCCAGGTGGGAGGAAAGGAGAGTGGAGGGAAGATGTTCGCTCAGCGATTTAAACAGGCAGGGTGGAAAAGAATCGAAGTGCGAGGGCCACAGCAAGGTGAGCCTTGGCTCTGTCGGGGCAAGGTCTCCACAAAGGTGTGAGGAGGGTTAAATCTCTGATATGGAAGTCAGGAACTCATTCCCGGAGGAGGCTACTCCTGAAAGGGCTTGTATTACTTTCTAATGCGGCCCAACATATTACCATAAACTTTGTGGTTAAAACAGCACCCATTTACCATCTCACTGTTTCCAGACACAATGTGTCTGAGTTCTCTGCCTGTGGCCCCACTGGGCTGAAATCAAGGTGTTAGCCAAGCCTATGGTTCACATCCGGGACTCCAGTTTGTCTTCCTTTTATATTCGTTGTTGGTAGACTGCACTTCCTTAAAATTGGAAGACTGAGGTTCTGATTTCTTTCTTGCTGTCAGACAAAGGTCACTCTCAGCTCCTAGAGGCCACTCTCGGTCCCCCTCTATCTTCACGTCACAGTGGAAAATTTCTTGCCCAGCAAATTCCCCTCATGGGTCACATCTCTGACCTCTTTCAGAAAAACGTTTGCTTTCAAAGGGCTCCTATAATTCAGACATGCTCACCTGGATAATCTCCCTACATTTTTTCTAAAAAGTTAGTTAGTATTTTGTCAGGGGATGCATGTGCTCACCGGAGAGAGTCAGAAAAATATAGAGAGACAGAGAGAGGGAAAAAGCATCTTCCAATGGAACATGGTCTTATCACAAGCCCTTCTCCATTTCTCCATCCTGTGAAGATCTGGGGCAGGCATGCACACACACCTGGCATATTTTCTAAGCCACCAGTGCCAGGACTTGAATCGTGGTCAGCCATGTGGGAACCGGCTTTCTTAACCACTAGGCTACAAGGATGACCCAATCTCCCTCTCTTAAGGTCAACTGTGCCATATAATATGAGGGATTTTTAAAATTTTGTGGAAAATGGAAATAAAGTATGAATTTATTTTGGTGGAAAATACATTTGAAATCCATATATATTTTTTCCCATAATATTCATTTCCTGTGAATTTTTTGAACACCCCTAGTATATCCTAATAATGTAACGGAGTGACAGAGCCCATCACACTCACAGGCCTGGCTAGAGATTGTACACCAGGGTGTGAGGAGTCTTAGGGGATAGCTGAGAATTCTGCCCACCAGAAGCACCAGATCACCGGTTCATAGTTAGTCAAGAGTGACTCATCATGGCACTTCTCGGGACTCTATTCTACTAGCTCCACCAGGCAGGGCTTGAGGGCATAAAGTCAGAGAAAAAGGGGAACCAGCAGTTAGCGTAATGGCTATGTCGCTGGACTCCCACATAGTCGACCGTGGTTTGTGTCCCGGACCCGGTGGCTTAAAACTCATGCCGGGTGTGTGTGCGTGCATGCCCAAGATCCTGAGAGGAGAATGGAGGAGAAGGGATTGCAGCGTGACCATCCCCACTGCGGGGTGATTTCTCGCTTTCTGTCTCTATGTCTCTCTTTGTCTGGTGAGCGCACGTGCCCTATAGCGAAAAACCTCTCCAAAAAAAAAAAGAAAAAAGAAATATAAAGTCAGAGAAAAAGGTACTACCTTGATTCAGGCTCACTCACGAAATTCACAGAAGAGCAGAGACCATGCCTGCCTTGTGCTGTCTATAAGTCATGCCCTTAGCCCTGTGCCTGGAACACCGTAGATATCTAAACTTTCAGTAATAAAAGTTTTTTTCTGTGTGTTTTTAACAAAGTCTCACACTTGAGTGTTTGATATTTATAGTGTTACCCTCCCATTCCACCAAACACAGCCGAACTGTTAGCAGTTCCCTCGGCAATGCCGGCTGAGGGCCTGCCATGGCTAGGCACTGCCCTCAGAGCTGGGGACACAGCATAGGCTAGATGGTACCCCATCCTGGTGTGAAGACTAAAATCCTCGCCTCTGAGAGATGAAGAAGCATCTCCCCCGTGGGACCCCCGTTCAAACCCAGGTGAGGGCTGACTCTACAGCTAGCAGTGTTGCCCCTGTTTCCCCTAGGAGACCTGAGCACTGAGACTTAGAAGAAGTGAGCCAGCTTCTCCCTCAACTCCTTGTGTCGACCTTGGGACTCCTGTGGGGTATCCCTCTAGAGCTCCACCATCTGCTTCCCTATCATATGCAACAAGCTTGTAAGCACAATGACTACGGGATTTGGACAGAAAGGCTTGGGCCCCCCCCCGTGTCACCTTCATTTTTGCTGCTTGGGAACAGCAAGCAATCTGCACTGTGTGTTTTGACCCATCCTAAGAGCTCAGGCTTTATTTTATAAGCCAGTAGCTCCATGTCCAAAACTCTTGGCTTTTTGCCACAACACGAGACAGGCCCTGTGCTACTTAACTGATTTTTCAGGATAAGACCAAGGTCCAGCGTGATCTGACCACATGTTACATCCGCCCTTCAGGCCATGAGGGCTCAGGAGCCACAGAGCTTCACTTTATCTTGAAATAATAATGATTGGAAAAGCTAAATAATGAGGAAATAAGCCAAAAGTGAATGATTTGTTACATGTTTATGATGCATGAGTGCCAGCAAAATACATCTATGTACTTTATGCCTGGGGAAGGCAGTGGTTAGGATGCACAGGGGGTTAGAAGTCCCAGCCTCAGTACTAACTTGTTGCTTGAATCTGGCAAATATGCTGCATCTTTCAACCTGTCTTTTCATTTGTAGAAGGAAAATGTTGGACAAACATGAGCCTGGTCTAAACACATTCAAATTCAAATTTATTTATTTATTTATTTATTTATTTTTGGAGAGGTTTTTGCTAGGGTGTGTGCACTTGCCAGAAAGACAGAGAGAGCCAGAGAGACAGAAAGCAAGAAGTCACCCCCCCAGGGGGAATGGCCATGCTGCAATCCTTTCTCTTCCACTCTCCTCTTGAGATCTTGGGCACGCACGCGTGAGTTTAAGCCACCTGGTCTGGGACTCGAACCGTGGTCGACTACATGGGAGTCCAGCAATGTAGCCATTACACCATTTTCTGGTTTCCCTCAAATTAATATTTTTTAAAAAGTGTACTTAAATTTTCCATGAGAGGAAGATGGGGAGTACCCCAATAGTGTCCCAGTAGTGTCCTTGCACCCCTAGTCTTAGCCAGCCTAGATCATGGGCACATATGTATTCCCACTGTATACAGAGAGACCTTGGGAGAGGAAGCTGGACCTTCCCATAGGGCCTCAACATTGTGGAGCGCTATGTTACTATTGTATCACCAATAGTAGTATTGTACTGCTATTTTGAGCTGGCCTTCAAATTCATATTTTTTTGAGAGAGATTTTTTCCAATAGGGTGTGTGAGCTCACCAGAGAGACAGAGAGAGAGAGACAGAAAGCTAGAAACCACCCCCAGGGAGGATGGCCACACCACAATCCCTTCTCTATTCTCCTCTCAGGATTTTGGGCATGCACACACACGTGCCTGGCATGAGTTTTAACCCATCGGGTCTGGGACTCAAACCATGGTCAACTATGTGAGTCCAGTGATGTAACCATTGCACCATCTGCTGGTCCCCAAATTCATACTTTTAAACAATGGTGTGTGAACCAAACAAAACCCACCTGCGAGCTACCTAAGCCCCTATTCTCTGATGACACTTGGGCACTCAGCCAGGAATCAACAAGCTTGCTTTCTTTCTTTCTTTTTTTGTTTGTTTGTTTAGAGGTTTTTGCCTTGTGCTTGTAGGATAGAGAGAGACAGAGACAGAGACAGATACAGACAGAAGAAAAGTGAGAAATCACCACCGGAGGGATGGCCACACCGCAATTCCTTTTCCTCCATTCTCCTCTCAGGATCTTGAGCACACACACATTCACACTGGACATGAGTTTCAAGCCACTGGGTCTGGGACTTGAACCGCGATCAGCCATGTGGGACTCTAGTGACATAACCACTACGTCATCTGCTGGCCCCAAACTTTCTATGTAAAGAACCAGATGGTAAGTGTTTTAGAAAATGTTTAATTAAAGTTTACTTCTTTGTTTCTTCCATGATCAAGAGACAGAGACAGAGAGGGAGCAAGAAAAAGAGACAGAAAAATGGTACCTCCAATAGGGTCTCAATGCCATGATCCACTCCCAACTTCAGCCAAGTCCAGATCATAGGCATGCACATGCAGTGTACTCAGAGAGGCCTCTGGATAAGGACCTCACAGAGCATATTTTACTGCTGTGTTACTGTCTGGCCCAAGACAGTAAATACTTCAGGCTTTGTAGGCCAGAAGCAAAACTGCGGCTATTAACAAGAGAGAAAAAAATTCCTTCGAATGTGTTATTGATTAAATTCAAAATATATTGAGTGCACTATTCTGGAATATAGGTCTACCAATGAGTGGAATGAAATTTCTGGGGGAGAAACCAATTTTACTTAATTTGATTTCAAAGTTACTGTTCTCTATCATCCAATCAATTGTGAATGTTCTTCATAGGCCAATGGGTAGGATACACTGGTTTTGGTTTGCAGGCCACTGTGTTGAATAGTCACCAACAGGGTGACCAAATGGGCTGGCCTACTGGGGACAGGCCCTGTTCAGACTATTGTTTCTGCTTAATTATTTATAGTGCCTCTTTTCTTTCCCTAAACAGTTGTGTTTGGATCATAAATTACTTACTAGTTTTTTTTTTTTTTTTTGAGAGATTTTCACTGTAGGGTGCGTGTGCTCGCCAGACAGACAGAGAGAGACATAGAGACAGAAAGCGAGAAATCACCCCCCAGGGGGGATGGTCACGCCGCAATCCCTTCTCCTCCATTCTCCTCTCGGGATCTTGGGCACGCACGCACACGCGCCCGGCGTGAGTTTTAAGCCACCGGGTCCGGGACACGAACCGCGGTCGACTACGTGGGAGTCCAGCGACATAGCCATTATGCTAACTGCTGGTTCCCTAGTTTTCTGATTTATAGCTTAGACTGTTTCCCTTTGCAGGGTTTTATGCAGGAAGTGTTTATTAGCTCTAACTTAAACAGGACCCTAAATGTAAAAATCACTGTACATAAAACTCACCTGGGGAGATAAAAACATTCTCGACAAAAACAAAGTGCTTGACCTAACCTCCTAATGCTGTTAGAGTAGGGGCTAGGGCATCTGTATGTTTTTGAAAAGAAAAAGCTTCCAGTGGTTCTCATGCATAGCCAGGCTCATAGGAACATTCAGGGAATACTCCGAGATGTGGCTCAGGCAAGTCAAGAGAAATCTAGGAGCAGCAGGACAGCGCAGGAACCCTAACCGCTGTGTGAACCTGCAGTGTGCACAGGACTTCTCTGTGTTTGGAAAGGGGGTGCAGGGATGCCCTTACTTTGTATGCATTGAGGACCTGGAGGGTATTTCCAGATGCCAGTTTTAGCTGGATCAAATCTTGGTTCTTTGCTTCAATCGTCTCTAAAAATTGAGCATTCTCGATCTTCAGCTGCTGAAAATCCACATCATGGAGAGCCTCACCCACCTCTTCCTTCTACAGCTCAGGAAGAAGAAAGAAAAGACATTATATTCAGTTGTGATTCTAAATATATGGCTCATATCTTGCAATTCTTGGTGAGATTTTGGAAGTCAGTCATCATTCAGTCATTCAACAAACCAGTATTGGTCATCTATTTGGTGCACCCCAGGCATAGTGCACATCATGTGTGTGTGTGTGTGTGTGTGCGTGCATGCTCAAAATCCTGAGAGGAGAATGGAGGAGAAGGGATTGCAGCATGGCTATCCCCCTGGGGGTGATTTCTTATTTTCCCTCTCTTTCTCTGTCTATCACCAGTGAACACACACATCCTACAATAAAATTTAAAATAAAAAAAAAAGGAAAAAGAATAGAGGTTTATTTAGCTCACGGTTTTGAGATCCCAGGTCAAGGGGCCCTATCTGGTGAAGGTCTTCTTGATGGTGGGTAGCATGGTAGAGGGCATCACATGGCAAGATGGGGCATGTGCATGCAAGTCTGTCTCCACGTGTCTCTCATTCTCTCTCCTTATAAACCACTAGGGCTCAATCATAGGACCCCTCCCTTAATGACCTTAATCCTAATCCTAATCACTTCCCAGTGGTCCCACCTTTCCACATCCTAGTTGGATTAGGTTTCTATTCTCTTAATACTTTCACCAATACAACAAAATTCCAACACATGGAGTTTTGGGGAAAACATTCCAAAATGTGTCCCAAAACTATAGCAAGTGTCTTATATTTGTCCTTAGTCACTTCATGTTGTTAAAGCTGTGCCAGTTTATTCAGGTCTTTCTGTATCCCAAGTCAATCAAGCAATAGTCCCCTGACACGTTCATTCTCATGTTCGATTTTTTTTTTTTTTTGCTATAGGGTGCATGCGCTCGCCAGATAGAGAGAGAGAGAGACAGAGAGATAGAAAGCGAGAAATCACCCCCCGGGGGGATGGCCACGCCGCAATCCCTTCTCCTCCATTCTCCTCTCGGAATCTTGGGCACGCACGCACACACACGCACCCGGTGTGAGTTTAAGCCACCAGGACGCAAACCACAGTCGACTACGTAGGAATCCAGCGACATAGCCATTACGCTAACTGCTGGTCCCTCATGTTCAATTTTTAATCATTATCAGTGGCATTATCATATAAACTATGCCATCAGTGCTACATTCAAGTTAATAATTAAAATATTGAGCTCGGAGAGAAGAGAGTCACATCACATTCTAGAGGTCCTAGCCACATCTGTCTTACTGCTTTTAATCAGGAGCCATTAGGGTCAACTGTCCAAAGACTCAGTATAACTGGGTCACCTGGGCCATAGTCCCCCAAAGGATGAGCAAGCGTGCCATGTTGTTCCTTTACATTCAAGCCAACTTTATCTTTAGAAAACCCTGATTTGCCTGCACTGTTGGCTGTTATTTTCCTATTACTCTGGAACAAACCTACTGGCTTACAGTGATACAAATTTATTATCTTCCAGTTCCAGAGATCAGAGTCTGAAATGGATTTGGGGGCTAAAATCAGGATGTTGGTAGAGATGCGTTTCTTTTGGACGTTCTAGGGGAGAATCTGTTTTCTCACTATATCCAGCTTCGAGAGGCTGCCTGTTTCCTTTGATTCATGACCCCTTCCTCTATCTTAAAAGTAGATTACTTCGGAACCAGCAGGTGATGTGATAGTTAAGGTGCTAAATACTCCCACATTGACCACAGTTGGAGTCCCAGACCTGGTGGCTTGCTTTCTCACTTTCCCTTTCTCTCTCTCTCTCTCTCTCTCTCTGCCTCTGTCTCTGTCTGGCCAAAAAAAAAAAAAGAATGAATAATTTAAAAATAAATAATTATTTAAAAACAAAAAGTAGATCACTCCAGGCCAGTAGGTGACATGATTGTTAATACACTGGACTGCCACGTGGCCATCCACAATTCAAGTCCTGGACCTGGCAGCTTGCTTTCTCACTTTTCCTCTCTCTGTTTTTCCCTGGTCAAAGTTTAAAATTAATTAAATTAATAATTCCTTTACAAAAAAAAATATACATCACTCTGCTCTCTGCTTCTGTTAACTTATCTTCTCTGACTCCCTCCCCTGTCTCCTTATACAAACTCTTGTGATTACATTGGGTCCATCCAAATAACCCAAGATCATCTCACCATCTCAAATTCCTTAAATTCATCACATTCACAAAATTCCTTTGCCAAGGGACGCAAAACATAATGTGTCCCCATTCTAAGGATTACGACAGGAGTACCATTATTCAGATTACCATAGTAACCTATAAAGATAAAGAACCACATACCTGCCTCAACTGTAAAAGCATTTTTTTCCTTTGAACTTTGAGAGAAACATTTTTCAAACGTAATTTATCCTTCATATTATCCTAAAAAATAAGAGCAAGTGTTAATTCATTTATTTCCCCCTCCTGCCCCCACCCACCACCACCCGTGGGTTTGAAATGCTGGGCAATCTCGGGCTGCAGACCAAACTTTGAGTTCCACATTTAACGACTCGTTTCAGGTCTGGCATGTTACTCATGACCAAGACGCAGAGAAAACCAGGTCTGCTCCATGCAAAGCTGATACTGCTTTGAACTTGAAAATTATTTGAGTGTAGGGCCGCTACCAGGGAGCTTCTTTACAAAAACAATCTTATGATTCTTTGGCCTTTTATTCTCGCAGTAACTTGCAAGATTAGTATTACTATTAACTTATTACCTGTTTCCAGCATCCAAAGCTCAATATGCTATAAAATTTCTGGAAATTCTTTTGTTTCCCAGGCCAGTCCAAGGTTTATAACCTTATAATAAGAACTCAAAGAACTTGACACTTACTTGTCATCTGATGATTTAGGCTGGATCAGCTCAGCCTCACTGCTTTCTTAATAAAATATATCAGGAAGTCAGCAGGTGGTGTGGTAGTTAAATGTTTGGACTTCCACATGGTTGACCATGGTTCAAGTCCTGGACCTGGCAGCTTGCTTTCTCACTTTCTCTCTGTCTCTCTCTCTCTCTTTTTGGTAGAGAGATTTTTGTTATAGGGCATGTGTGCTTGCTGGAGAGACAGAGAGTGACAGAAAGCAAAAAATCATCCCATGGGTGGGAGGACAGTCACACCGCAATTCCTTCTTCTCCATTCTCCTTTCAGGATTTTGGGCAGGCATGCACATGCACCCAGCATGAGTTTTAAGCCACCAGGTCAGGAGCTCAAACCACAGTTAACTATGTGGGAGTCCAGCGATGTAACCATTACGCCATCTGCTGGTCTCTCTCTCTCTCTCTCTCTCTCTCTCGTGCATATATCTTATAGCAAATTTTTAAAAATTATAATAATAAATGAAGTTAAATAAATCATTCTTCAATTAAAAAAGGAAAATACATCAGATCTTGAAACAATAACAAAAAAGAGGAAGTCAATCAGAACTACTGCTAACGTGCTTCCTGCCCAGTGGATTTTAGCCTTGATAAATGTACATTTTACAACACATACATCTCCTTTGGGGGTGCAAAACAACCTGCCTCTGTGGGCAACATTTATGGTGGGCCGAATGAAGTTAGGTTGCCTCACGTGGGTAATTTCTATGTCACAGTTGCCTGATTCCAGTCTTCCTTTCTAAGCTCTCTCAGCGCCTGCCAACTCACCCTCCTGCGGTTCATGTCCTCGATGTACTTCAACACTTTCTGAGTGGCCAAAATACTCCCTTTCTTCTTGGATATGGTTTTTAGAACGTCTTTCTCAAACTCGTGTATTGCTTTCTGAACTTCAGACCATTGGATTTCAGCTTCCTCGATGATAGCCTGAGGGAATCAGTGCAAAGAAACAACCATTTCTGAACATTCACACGGATATACATCTAAGGATAAGTTCCTGGGCCTCACTGTGTCCCACCACATAGAGTCTCTTCGTAGACTTAGGAAAAAATACCCTTAAGACAAAACCTGACTATGTGAATATTATTATTATTAAAAGACATGTCTCAGAAAATTCGATATCGATAAAAGGAGAGCAAACAAACAAAAACAGGTCTCAGGTATCCCTACACATACGTATTGTATTATTTATCTATTAAAAGTTATGTTACATAGGGCCAGCAGATGGCATGGAGGTTAAGGAGGATGGATTCCACATGGCTGACTGTGTGGTTCGACTCCCAGGCCCTGTGGCTTGAAAACACGCTGTGTGCATGTGCGTGCTTACATGTATGCTCAAAATCCTGAGGAGAATGGAGGAGAAGGGATTGTGGCATGGCCATACACCTGTGTGTGTGTGTGAGGGGGTGGTGGTGGTGATTTGTCATTTTCCTTTTCCTCTCTCTCTGTCTCTTTGGGGAGCACACATACCCTATAGCAAAACAAACAAACAAAACAAAACAAAATCATTCTTATCGTATACTTCTGTAAATTGGGGGAAAAAAAGATGTTATAAATGAATGCGCACAAGCACAGACACAGAAAGACGTCATTAAGCAAAATACTGAGTAGACATGGTAATGAGTATATAAAGTTCAAGATACTTAGGAGGCCAGTACGATTAAAAAGGGTGCTTTGGGCAACGGAGGAGGGCAATGAGACCTTGAAATGCAGGCAGAGGAGTTTATCTTTGGTATCTTAGAAACTGGTATATGACTAGAAACTTACCCAAAATCTAGAAGGAGAAAAATTCAAGGATCAACAGTAATTACTTCCAGGTGGTAATTCTGTGGTAATTTTTAAATGTTCTTTTTGCTTACCTATATATGCATGTGTGTGTGTGTGTATAATTGTTTTTTTGGCAAGAGATTTTTTTTTGCTCACAGATATATATAGAGAGAGAACCCCCAATGGGGCATGGTCATGCCATAATCCTTCTCCCCTATTCACACAACCTATCAGGATTTTGAGGCATGCTGACACACACACTCAGCATGCTTAATCACTGTGCTATGAGCTGGCCCACCATATCTTGATGTTCTACAACAAATATAGATTGCCTTGAAATAAGAAAACTCACACCCACACACACAGTTTTAAAGAAAAAAAAAAAAAAAGAGGAAGAGAGAAGTATTATGCCTGTACAGCAAATCATTCTCATTCAGGCTTTTTTTCTGGGCACCAAAATGCAAAAGCACGTTTACTGGCATCCTCAGGCTGCAGCCTCTTCTCAGTCCCATCGTCTTTACAGGCTGGGACATTAGCCCACCTTTAATGAGGCTTTTAACATGCTACTGTCCTGCTCAGTTATCTTCAGTGGGGTCCAGCTTTCTTTTTTCTCCCCTTTATTTATTATCATCATAATCTTGTTTATATTACATTGAATCACATGTAACTTTAGAGTGTATTCGATTTCTTTTTCCAGAAGGAATACCATGCATATCAGTCAATACAGAGACATTAAATCCCCATTTCATCATCCAATAGTTTTTCATTTTCTTCCCCTATTATTATTATTATCATTCCAATTATTTCCTTTTTTAAAATTATTTATTCACTTATTTTAATTTGACCAGAGACAGATACAGATAGAGTGAGAAAGTGAGAAAGCAAGCCACCAGGTCCAGGAATTGAACTGTGGTCAGCCATGTGGGAGTGTCCAGCGCCTCAACCACCACGCCACCTGCCGGGTCCCATCATTCCAATGATTTCTAAGACATCAGTGGTAAATGCCTCCGCCCACACTTCAAGCTGCATTTGTCCTACTTTGATTTCCAGACAGCTGAAAGCACCTCCTTCCATAATCATGCTGGCCTCCCTGGTGTCATGAACTTAATGCTCATTCCCATCTCCATGTCCTTGCTCATGTATTCGCCTTACCTAGGGTCTTCTCTTTCTCTGTTCTTTAGACAAATGCCATCATTCCTCAGGGCATGCCAAGTCCATGTTATCCCCACCTCCTCAACAAAGTCTTCTTTGACAACCACAGCCCGTACTGAACTCTGTCCTTGACCTTTACGTCACATGATCTTGGGAGGTCAGGACGATGCTACCACATCCTACGCTCTTTAGCTTGCTAGAATTCCACGGTGAATGTTGGAAGAAGGGAAGAGAGTGGAGGGAGATTAGGAGGAAGGGGGAGAAGAAGGTAGGGATCAGTCATGAGGTACGGATGGTCCCATCAATGGAAACAAGGCACTGATAGGTCCCTCTTGAGGCAATGAGCATGATTCTGTGTGTGCCCAACTTTCCGTAGAAAAATAGGAACTTTCAGGTATAGAAAAGAAGTGTCTATCTTCCATAAAACAGCTCTCAAATGCAAGTCAACAACTTCATCCCACGGGCAACAAAATTTGCAGGAATGTTTTCTGTCTAGAGGAAAACAGAATTTTGCTGGACTCACTATCAATCTTCAGTAAGATAAGCCCTGCGTACTATTATATGTGAAGGGTGACAGGGATTTTTCATCAAATTAAATGAGTAAGACCTCAAATCTCTTATATTATTTCAGAATTATTATACATTTTAAGGGCAGTTACGGTCATTATAGCTATTCTTTTTTTAAAATGTTTTTGCCATAGGGTATGTGCACTTGCCAGAGAGATAAAGAGATAGTGAGAGGGAAAGTGAGAAATCACTCCCCCCAGGGGGGGCGGGGATAGCCACACCAAAATCTCTTCTCCTCCATTTTCCTCCTGGGACCTTGGGCACGTACATACATGCACCCAGCATGAGTTTCAAGCCACCAGGTCTGTGACTCAAACTGTGATCACCCATGTGGGAGTCTAGTGCCTTAACCACCACTCTGCTTGCTAGCTCCATGGCTATTTTTTCAAAGAATCCATATCTTACAGACATATACTGAAATATTTACCAACAAATGATATGGTATGACCCACTTCATTATAACCCAGTGAGAAGAGAGCAAAATTGATCAGAACACTGATGACGCAAGACTGACCGTATGTTGATGATTGTTGCTTCCAGGTATTGACTACACAGGGGTTTGTACTTATGATTTTTTTTTAATTTAACTTTATTTATTTATTTTTAATTTGATCACAGAGAGACAAAGTGAGAGAGAGAGAGAGCGAGAGAAAGAGAGAAATTAAGAAAGCAAGCCATCAGGTCTTGGGCTTGAACCGCAGTCAGCCCTGAGGAAGTCCAGCACCCCTAACCAACATGCTACCTGCAGGCCTCACACTTGTGAATTTTTAAAAATTTGTGGGACCAGCAGATGGTGTAATGGTTACGTCACTGGACGCCCACGTAGCAAACTGCGGTTCAAGTCCCAGTCTCAGCCTCCTAAAACTCACACTGTGCATGCGTGTGTGTGTGCCTAAAATCCCGAGAGGAGAATGGAGGAGAAGGGACTGCAGCATGGCCATCCTCCCTGGGAGAGTGATTTCTCACCTTCCTTTTTTTTTTTTTTTAAAGAATTATTTATTTATCTTTATTCATTTACTTATTTTTAATTTGAGCAGAGAGAGACACACAGACACAGAGAGAAAGCAAACCACCAGGTCCGAGACTCAAACCATGGTTGGTCATGTGGGAGTGTCCAGCACCTTAACCACCATGCCACCCACCCAGTCCCCTGATTTCTCACTTCTGTCTATCTTGCCAGCAAGCGCAGGTTCTATATAGCAAAAATCTCTTTTAAAAAATTGCTAGAGGGTATGTATGCTCACCAGAGAAAGACAGACAGAGAAAAGATGAGAGATCACCTCTGTTCTCCTCTCAGGATTCTGGGCACACATGAACACACACCTGGCATGTCTTTCAAGCCATTGGGTCCTGGTCTCAAACCACATGGTAGGCCAAGTAAGATCTGGCTACCTCAACCACCGTGCCACTGGCTGGACATGTACTTGTGTATTTGAAATTTCCATTTAAAAAGTTTAAAGTTTTTCCTTAAAAATGGTGGTTAAGTTCCTGAAAGACTGGCCCTAAATTTGTTGTCCTACTATCACTTCCAAAGCACTGACAATGACACAAACATGCTATAGGTGCTCCTGGATGAGGCCACAGTGATGAGCCAGGTAGGAGAAAAGGATGTACCTCGTGATGCTGCAAGTTCCGCTCAGCATTAGCCCTCATGTGCCTTATTTCATCCTTCGTGTCTTCCAGCTCCTTCTGCACAAGCTCGAGTTTTTGCTCAACGTTGAGGCCTACCCAACGGTCCACACCCACACGGGATTTGGACTTACGCCTACCTCGAATCTGCAACCCAAGAAAAACAAAGCCATTGTCAAAGAGGACTTAGTAGTAAAGCAGCCCGAGGAGGGTGTCAAAATGATGCCTTAGACCTGCTAGAAATGACCCTGAATGACAGCCAGGGAGAACAAGGCATCCAGGACACTGGGTGTTAGGCCCAAAGTGACATTTATTTAGCAGTTACCTTCAGGTCCTGTGGTGAATCCTTCAAAGACCTATGTCTATCAATGAATGGAAAATATGAGAGAAGAAATGTCTGGAGAGTGAAAAGGCTGTGAACCTACTTAGCCCTATATTCAAGTCAAAATCAGGGAAGCCCAGAGCTCAGTGCTTCTCAAATTAAAGACAGAAGAGAAATTTCACCCAGGGGCATCTGTTCAGCAAAACAGGCAAATAAACAAACATCTTGTATGTTCCATACATTTAAGGCAAAGATCAGAAGTGGCTAGTCCAGGGAACGGACAGACCCGAAGATGGGTTTGCTAAACCTCTGAGATAAGGACACATACCAGGTCCACTTGACCCTTTATGTGATGGCTCAGGTCTTGTAAACAGTGAATCTCCCAGTTTATGGGAATTCTTTCAATAAGCCAAGGGTCCCCAACCTCCAGGCCATGGACTAGTACCAGTCCTTACAATTACAATGTGATGATAATAAAGTGCCCAATAAATATAATGTGCTTGAATCAACCCATAACAATACCCCCTGCCCCAGTCCATGGGAAAATGGTCTTCCATGAAACCAGTCTCTGGTGCTGAAAAGGTTGGAAAGAGCTAAGATATTCTGGGAGAGTCAGCCTACCACTAATTGAACACGATTCTCTTCATACTCACTTGAAAAGAAACCCTGGAGATGAAGGAAGAATCGAAAGTATCACAAGGAGAGAGGCATATGGCCACGTGGCCAAAGGAGGCACACCAAAGGCACATACACAAATGTCACTTACATTTAAGGGGACAAACACAATAAAGTCGTTTTCGGATCTCCATCATGTACCTGTGCAAGTTCTGCTGGTGATATTTTAATATCTGATAAGCGTGGAGGTCGCTGATCTCCGGGCTCCAGTTTAGAGTAATATTTCTCAAACATCTCTGTCTCGGTTTTGAGAGCAGAGTTTCCATAGCTGAAAGAGGGGATCTGGGTAAGTTCTATGAATAGGAGCTTAAACCCTAAATAACTAGTACCTACCACTTACTAGTTACGTGATGTTCTACAAGACAATTAAAGCTGTTGGTGCCTTGGTTTCCGCACCTATAAAGTGAGAATAATAATAGCACTTACCTTTTAGGCTTGCAATAAGTAATGCAAAGTCTTTAGGACAATACCCAGCACCTAGCACATGCTATTTATATTTGATATTTTTATTAATATGATTAATGAGCAATAAAATTCGGAGCACTGAAAGTTGTGATTACAGGTTTCACCTTCAAGTATCATCTAAGCCCTTTGTGAAATTCCTTCTGAATTACTACATCCCTGAAGTTGCACACACCCTCAATTTTTAGATGTTTCCATTGGTTTATTTTATTCAGCTCTTTTATTTCCAGCCCCCCAGAGATGCAAGTATCTACTGGAAGTTTATTATAAACTATAGAAAACTTTGAATGAATGGTTCTTAATCGGAGATGACAAAGCTAGTTTATCCTGTTTGTGCCAAGATTATGACCTTTTAAACCTCTTAACTTCTCATGTGTGTCTAACACATACATATATGTATACACTCATACGTGGGGTCTTCAGCGAGTTTGCAGAAAATACATATTATGAAAAAGTGTGCATAGATTTCCACTTTTGCACCAAAATAAACCTGTACTTTAATTCTTTTTTCCCTTGTGTGTGTTGGGGGTGGGAGGGTAAGAGACAAACAGAAGGCTTTGTTTGATGGTTTCATCTATTATTAAGCTAATTCCTGTTTGGCTCAATTTTCTTTCCAAGTTGCCAGAGGGTGCATGGTATGCTTGCCAGAGAGATAGGAAGGGAGGGAGAGGGAAAGAAAAAAGGAGAAACCACCCCCCAGTGGGGAGTAGCCATGCCATAATCCTTTCTCTTCAATCTCTCCATCCTGTTAGGAGTTTGGCCATGCATACACACAACGGGCGTGTTTCCCAAGCCTCCAGGATCAGGATTCGAACATCAGTCTTCCATATGGGATCCAGCTCCCCTCAAACCAGCAAACCATGGGACAGACAGACTTGTGCTTAGCTGAATTTTAAGATGGGTGGAAATGGCTGAATGGAAAGCACAATATGTCAAAGTGTCTCACTTTTTCAATATAAATGATGTCCCAGATGTAAACTGGGGGGTCTCACCTGAGTCTGAATCCCAGTAATACCACTAGCTTTGTGATCTTAGGGAAGTGATTTAACTTCCCGAAGTGACTGTGTCTTTGTTTCCTTACCCACCTTCTCAGGTTGCTGTGTCATTGTATAAAGTCATACATGCAAAACGCATGGTGTGTAATACACATTCAAAAATGGTTCTGACTTAAAACTGTACATGCATAGAAGTAACCACTATTCAACGGCCAAAGTCAGGATATTCCATGGAGACCAATAGGTTGTGTCATTAGCTTCAACTACGTTATGGAATCTTGATATCCAGTGTACTTGCTTTAGTAAATACGAAACAGACCTAAAAATACAAAATATTAGGCCATTCATTCTTTGCTTTTCTCCCTGCTTAAACTTTGGTTCAGGTACACATAGCTTAAAATCATCTCAATAGCGTCCTTTCTACCCTGCTGCCACAATAATATTATCGTGGAATCCGAGCCCGGGGAAGGGGTTTCGCAGTCACCTGGTCCAACCTGCCTCTGCACAATAGGGAGCAGCTAAGCACACGGTCTGTCACCCTGCCCACCCGCGAGGCCAGATCTCTAGCTTGGCCAGTTACCCTCTGGGAATCCCACTACCGGTCCCAACCCCTTCCCTCTTCCAACAACAGCCTGTGGGTCGATGGTGATAGAAACGCAGGGGGAAAGAGGCAGAGACGAATTTCTTCCCCACTTTGGGGGAATCAGATTCCCAGTGCTCTGTGTGGGCTTGGATGTCTCCAGGGGGACCTAAGGACCGAGGCCGCTCAGGGCGGAGGCCCACTGCAGAATGGGCGGCCCCCAACAGCCGGCTGGGGGTACCTGAGCTCCTCCACCAGCCCGCACAGCTGGATAACAGGCAGCTCGTTCTCCTCCCCCACGGGGGTCTCGCTGACGACGCTCATTCCTCATCTGCCATCCCTGCCGAAGCAGCCCTTGCCAACGCAGACTGTGCCCAGGAGCGCCGGGTGCTAGCCGCCTCGCGTCACTCAGGCTGCGACCCATGGCTCGTTGCCAGGGCAACCCGACGCTTGCAGGGGGAGAGGCGGGGCTTCCGGAGACCCCGCCCAGCGCTCACCAGCCCTGCGCTGACTTGAGCTGGCTGAGCGTATTTACTTTTGCTTCTTTAACCGTAATATTTTAAGAATTATTTTTAAATTTAAATCCCCAGGGGGGATGGCCACACCGCAATCCCTTCTCCTCCATTCTCCTCTCGGGATCTTGGGCATGCACGCACACGTGCCCAGTGTAAGTTTAAGCCGGGACTCGAACTGTGGTCAACAACATGGGAGTCCAGTGACATAGCCATTACGCCAACTGCTGGTCCCCATGCTGTTAACTCCTACACTGATGTGGAATGAGGCAAAGTGCAGCAAGGCAACATGGGGTGGGAAGTGGGGTCTTCTGTCTGCTCCCTCGCCATCCAGAGGGGGCAGAGGACAGGATAGACATTGGATGTGGTCAGAAAGCAAGCTGTGAGTGAGACCCTTCTGCAAGGGATACGTGTTAGCATCAACATGTAGTTACTAGGCTCCAAAGGATAGCTTTTGTGTTGCTGCTGAGGGTGTCCAACTTTGGGACAGAGTGGAATTTCTGGGAATGATAACAGAGAGGCTGAGCCCTGCCACTCCCTTCTCTCCAATGGTAGGTCTCCTTAGGCTCAGGGGACAATGCAAACCATACTTAGGAATAGCTAATACATCCATGTATCAGATGACAATAATGGATGTCTGTCCCAAGTGGAGCAAGAAAACGTTCTGCAGCAGGTGTGGGCTATGACACCAACAGCCCTGTCACTTGGGCCATGTGGTCCAATTGACCCTACTTACAGCCTTAGAAGTGTCAGTGGTAAAAGAGATGCAGCTGGAAGCTTAAAGCAAGACCCAGTGGGAGAATCACAATGCAGGACCCAGGACTCTGGAGCAAGACCATAGAATTGACAGCACAGAATTATATGTCCTTTCAGAAACCCATTACTACACCCCATTACTTTTCTGTCCCTAGCAGGGACAGAATATTTGACCATGGGCCACCAAGTGACAGTGCATCTGGTCCTACCCATTGCTATGTGGGTCCCATTGGGCCAATCAAGTCATAACATTAGACAGGTCCAGCTTCAGTCCATTGTAAAGTGGAGATGTTTCATCCAGGATCGAGCCCCAGTGGCACCGGAGAGCCTGAATAAACTGCACAGGGACCTCTCCCCCAGCTAACACTTAGACCGTATTTGGGGGTGGTGGGAGGTCATGACCACTTGGAAGAGGAGGAAAAAGCTCGAGCTTAATTTACAAATAAGCTGGTTTGGAATGTGGGTGCAAACCAAAAATGTTTTCTTATCGCCACTTTATAGGAGGCCCTGAAAAACAGTGGGGAGGAAAGATCTCCCAATGGGTAGACTGAGTGGTGCACCTGGTCACCTATTTTGCGTGGAGGGAAAAGTGGCCTCAGGGGAAAAGTGGACCCAGGAGACATTTGGCTCAAGAACTCCGTATTAGGCTGGCTGAAACCTTTAGAACTGTGCTTCTATCTGAGATGCTTGCTCCCCAGCCCTCCTGCCTTCCTCTCCCAAGTGTCATACTTATAGCACAGTCTAAAGGTTCCCCTTATCTGTTCCTGCTTCCTCTCTTTGGTCTGTCACAGAAACTTTCCCCAATAAGGGGGCCAACAGGTGGTATGGTGCTTAAGGGTGCTGGACTCCCACATGGCCGACCATGGTTTGAGTCCTGGACTTGGTAGTCTGCTTTCTCACCGCCCCCCACCACCACCACTCTGTTCCTCTCTGGTCAAATTAAAACTAACTAAATAAATAAAGTTAAATAAAATAATTCTTAAAAAAAAAGAAAATTTCCTTAATAAATAAAATCTCTTCATGTCTAATTTAATATTGGCATGGCTAACCCAAACCAACACAATCATTCTTTATAATATTTTTTGCTGGGCTGGCAGGTGGCATGGTGGTTGAGGCACTGGATTCCCACACAGCTGACTGTGGTTCAAGCCCTGGACCTGATGGCTTGCTTTCTCACTTTCCCTTTTTCTCTCTAGTCAAATTTAAAAATAGTAATAAAAAATACAATTAAATAAAATAATTATTTTTAAAAATATATTTTGGGCCCGGCAGGTGGCATGGTGGTTAAGAACATAGGACTCCCACATGGCCAGCTACTGTTCAAGTCCTGGACATGGGAGCTTGCTTTCTCACTTTCTCTCTCTCTCTCTCTCTCTCTCTCTCTCACTCTGTCCCTCTCTAGTCAAATTAAAATAAATAAATAAATAAATCCAAATAAAATAATTATTTAAATTAAATATATATATATGTGTGTATGTGTGTGTGTCTATATCTATCTATCTATCTATCTATCTATCTATCTATCTATCTATCTATGTTTTGCTAGAGGGCATGTGTGTTCTCCAGAGACAGAAAAGCAATCCCTTCCCCTCCACAGTCCTTTTAGGATTTGGGGCATGCATGGACACTCTTCCCCCAGATAAACATATGGCTTAAACCCTCACCTGCTTCAGACCCAATGACCATTCAAGGATAACTCCTTATTTCTGTCCCCTTCTCAGTCTTGGCAACTTAGGGAGAACAGTGATTGACTATGAGTACAAAGGGCTGAGACAGTATGTTTTCAGGATTCCTGTTCATGGCAGAAGAGGTCACACAGACATAAGCATCATCCCATGAACTCCTCACCTACGCCAATTCCTGCTTTGCCCCTTCAGTCACAGCCCCGCCCATCCTCACGCTGGTGCTGCTTCCTCTCTCAATCCCCTTCCCCACCACCTTATTCTCCCCTGATCTAAGCCCAGAGGCTGGGCCCTGTGGACTCCACATCCAGACTCCCTTACTGCCTAACTGCCTACTGATTTCAGCCAATAAGAGGCATCCAGAGGAGACAGGAAGGCAGAAGAGAGACTGCCCAGGGTATTTCTTCCCTGCTCCCTCCCTGCTCTGGCCCTCTGTGACCACAGTTCCTGCCTGGTAGCCCCTCTCTCACTGCCATCTCTCACTGGATGCTGGTTTCATTAACCCTCCCCTTCTCCTTCTTACCTAGAATGCAGCTGGTCTGGGGGGTGGGGCTCACCATCCTTGTTGGTTCTCTTAGCTCTACTGTGTGAGTGAGTGTAAATAGCTCCATCACTGGGACCAGCAGGTGGTGTAATGGTTACATTGCTGAACTCCCACAGAGTCCATTGTAGTTTGAGTCCTGGACCCAGCAGCTTAAAACTCACTCTGGGTGCAAGTATGTGTGTCTGTCCCAGATCCCAAGAGGAGAATGGAGGAGATGGGATTGTGGCATGGCCATCCCTCCTGGGGAGTGATTTCTCACTTTTTGTCTGTTTCTCTGGCAAGTGCACACACCCTACAGCAAAAATCTCTCTCTCAAGTAAATAAATAAATAAGTAAATAAAATGTCCCATCACTAAGGTCTCTTCAGTTGAACTGAGCAGAATTCTGGTTCCTACAGGACCCTGACTAATAAATACATCAGGAACTTTCCTACCTGAAGATTTCATATTAGCTCCATAAACTACCTGCCTGTCCGTTAGTTAGAGAGGTTTGTTGTGTAGATGTACCTGGGGGAGATTTCCATTCAGTATAAAGTCACTCTGCAGTGCGGGGCATCAGCTCCTTAGAGTCAGGCTTAGTGAGGTGGGTAGTACCAGGTATCTAAAAGAAGCAGGGGAGGGGGTGTCTTGCAGTGGAGAGAATCGGAGCAGATTGTGTTTTAATGGCTCTGGGTTCCATCCACGCTTGGCTGTGGGCTCCTTAAACTTGGTAACTCAAGGTTCGGTGCCTCAGTTTCCACTTACGTAAAATGGGGACAACACGTTTTTTAGTAACTACTCTATGTGTCTTAGAAGAGTACTCCCAGGCTCTGGGAACAGCGGATGATGTAATGGTTACATTGCTGGACTCCCACATGGTTGATCACAGTTTGAGTCCCAGACCCAGCAAACTAAATTCATGCCAGGCACAGGGGTCAGCAGATGACATGGTGGTTAAGGCACTGGACTACCACATGGCTGACCATGGTTCAAGTGCCAGACCTGGTGGCTTGCTTTCTCACTTTCCCTTTCTCTCTCTCTGGTCAAATTAAAACTAATAATAATAAATAAAATAAAATATATATTTTTTTAAAATGGCATTGCAAGCATGTTTCTTTAAAAAAAAAAAAAAAGAAAGAAAGAAAAGTTCACCCCCGGTGCATGTGTGTGCATGCCCAAAATCCCGAGAGGAGAATGGAGGAGAAGGGATTGCAGTATGGCCATCCCCCTGGAGGGTGATTTTTCACTTTCTGTCTCTCTGTCTTTCTGGTGAGTGCGCACGCCCTATAGCAAAAATCTCTCTTAAAAAAAAAAAAAAAGTACTACCAGGCTCAAATGGGATAGGGCAAGAGAAGTATGCAAAGTACAACCTGGAGACTGGCACTCCAGTGCCTCCTCTGGGAGGAGCCACGGCCCGTTTGGCAGCAGTTTGCAGTAGATTATTACATGAAAAACTGACTCAACCTGCAAGTTTTAAATCATGATAATTGGTATTGTCGTTTCTTAATGTATTTATTACCAATTAGGTAATATCTTTATTGCTTAATAAAAACACTTATAACAATTACTGTTTCAGTTACTATTTATTGAGTGCCTGATGCTGGCTAAGCTTGTTCCAGACATTATCTCGTTTCATCAGCCCGATGATTCTGTGAGATATGGGTACCTTCATGAGCCCCCATTTACTCATAAGGAGACTGAGGTTCAGAGGAGTGAACCAACTTGCTCACAGTCACGTAGCTATTCTGGGGAGGGGCTGAAACTCAAAGCCAGGTTTATCCCGATTTGCTCTGTCCTTTGGTCATTTCATCATACCCTCCCTGTTTGAATAGTGGTTCTTGGAAGGTGGATGGGGACTATTTTGCCCCCCGCTCGGGAACATTTTTGAGTCTGAGATAACTTTTTGTTTGTCTTAACTAAGGAGTGGACTATTGAC